ATGTATTCACTCAATTTGTAAAAAGCTTCAGAAACCTTTGGAAAGAAAGGGAGCTCAGAGCATATAAGATAGCAATGCTTTCTTTAAAGAGAAATCACAACACCTAACATCATAAGATAGCATTCCACAAGACCCTCCAGTGATGTGACCTCTATCAGTAGTGTGACAAGTCTTCTGTATCATTTAGCCATGTGCAAGCTTCAGAAAGCATTTTGGTTGCTTGATTATACAAAATTTCTCTGAAATTTCAGGGCTACAGACAGTATAGATAGCGAGAGAAAAGGTCTTCCTTTGAGTATCTACAGCTCTCTGGAAAAAGCTGCTACATACAGTCTTGTCAATAACTAAGAAGGTTGAACTACCAAATCTTATGATGTTTGGTTAACATCTGAAATTGGAGGAAGATTTGATCAGGTTCCTTTTATTTTTGAGTGTGACTTCCCTTCCCCAAGAATATTTTTCACATCTCCCTCTCTATGCAGAGAGGAGAGAGCTCCTGATGTTTTGATGAACAGAGTTCAGGGATGTAAGAGAAAAAACACATACCACGATGGGGCTCACCTGAACGGAGATTAGTGATTTCATTTAAATTTGCTTTCAATCTTTCCAGGTTTTCAATGTTCAGAGCAAGAAGAGGGGCTACCAGGGCCAGCACAGAGGTGAAGAAGAGAAGATTGGAGTGATGAACGGCTGGAGAAAGAAGACACACAATGAATCTGGGAATGCAAACCTTCTGAAAGAGAATTGGCTAAATAATTCAGCAGAAGTTAAAACAAGCTTACAGAACATAAAAACCCAAAACATTAATTAAGTATTTGCTTTATTGAGCAGCAGAAGTATAAAGACCAGTTTCCAAAAATAAACATTCTGTAAAGGCACATCATCCCCAGAGAAAAACATTTGATTTGACTAAAATCTACAGGTCTAAATTTGCAGCTTCCAAGAGTGGTGTTATCCTCTTTAGCCATGGTCTGGACTAAAGCAACAGTCTGCCTAGAATCAAGATGTTAAACCAGCATCAGTGTGCATGTCTTGAGAAAAAACATCTTCTAGTAATTCAGGATGGCATGCAGATTTGTAGGTACTGCTGTTACCTGAAGATAGTCAGGAGCTACTACAGCAGTGATAAACAAGATGCAGGGACCTGAGAGCTTGAAAAGAAAGAAGCTGTTGTGGCCACAATATTGATGGTACCCTGAGAGCTGGGGACTTCGCTTCATTGTCCCAGAATTGCCCTCTCCCACTGGGGCACCGTGCAGAGACTGGAATCTGCCCACTGCATGAAAATGCCAAGAGGAGAGCATCCTGCAGGGAGCCAGCGGTGCTGATCCAGCATCAGACCCCTGCTGCATGTCCCAGGTGGAGCCTCTGCAGGGACACGCTGAGGGTCAGTACATCCCAGCTGACATGTGGGCCAGGACAGTCTACGCTTTAAAGGATGGTTTCTGCCAGTGTCTGAAAAACTGAGTGGTTTGACCCCTTTGGACCATACCAAATCAGGACATTCCCCAACAGTTTGTTCATGGCCAGCTCCACAGATTTGTGTCCATAGCTTGACCACCCAGCTTCAGTACTCTGAAGGATTTATGAGGATGATGGGTGGTTAATGCATTAATTAACTTCCATTCAATTATATTTTATTTTTCAGTGATCTGGTCTCTGGCACAAATATAAGTTAAATAAATGTTGCCTTTACAACATCACTTGGGACAGGATGGTTTTACTTGTGGTCAGGAATGGAGGAGAGAGAGTGAGGAGCAGGAGGGTCACAGAAACCTGGGGGTTACAGCAGCAATAGGCTCATCCCACCATCCCAAGGCCAGAAACAGTCAGTGGGAAAAGCAGAGCTGCAGTACTGGGGGCAGAAGCCCAGAGGCAGGCAGAGGAGGAAGGAATGCCCAGCCAGTGCTGTCCCATCCCACGCCACCCCACACCACACTCACCCATGCTGTCTCTGTGGGGACCCCGTGGAAGCGGCAGGCGTGGCAGGGTGGCGGGGTGGCCAGCCCTGCTGTTATATAGGGCTTGGCAGGTGGGGTGGGGCCAGCTGACCAGAGCTACAACATTCATTCTGCAGTTGTCTTCTGGGCTGGAAATTTATGGTTTGTTTGCCCTCACCCGTAAGCACCTCTGCTCATGCACCAGCTGTTGTGCTTCTGTGATAAGAGATCCCAAATGAACCTCAGCAAACAGCACCTGATGTTCACACAGAATTCCACCAAAGTGACAAATGCTCCTGACAAGGATTTTTCTTGAGGTTGTTATTACTTACGGGATTTGATGCCAAACCCTGTGGGGACATGTTGTGACCTGGGCTGTGCCGGAGATTCCTGTGAGACACCCTTTAGCGTCTGCCTACCCTAGCACAGTGCATCACCCAAGAGGGATCTGTGCTCTCTGACACTGCAACCACGGTTCCCACCCACACCAGGGCAGCAAAGGGGCCTCGTCCCCAGATCTGACCCCACCATGGCAATGCAAGTGCTCAGCTCGGTGCCAACAGTGAACCCATCCCATGGGGCAGCCCCAGTGCCAGTGCAGGATGGGTCCTGCAGCCCTCCTAAGGGGTCCTGTGCTGGTGCTGAAGCCAAGGGTCTGCTGGAGGGGAGGGTTTAGCTCTGACTTCACAGCTCTGGGTAACCTGGGGAGCAGCCCTCATGGCAGAGCTTGTTGCGGACTTAGTTAACGAGGTGGCTGCGGGTTAAGCAGAATAAATGCTTAATGGACATTGAGCAGTCCAGTCTGCAGCCAGCCTTGCAAACGGCACAGGAATGGGAGAGGAGCTGTAAGAGGAGCAGTGGCATAGCTCAGCGATGCTGGCTGACAGCTCAGTGACACCAGGATGGGACCACGGTGATGTATTTATTGATGGTTTGACACCAGGAGGTGCTGAGCCGCTGGAGCGCGTCCCTGCGCCGGCCCCCCGGGACGCTCTGTGGCACTGCTGGGGACCCACACAGGCCCTGCGCCTGCAAGGCTAGTGCTGGCTGCTTGACCCCACGCTGCCTTCAGCCCCAGGTCCTTCCTCCCCAGGTGGCATTGCCACCTCTGCTGTCCCCCAGGAGACCAGCAGGTGGTGGTGAAGGTCTCGGCACCAGCACACACTGCCACCACACCCGTGCCCTGCCATGCCCTGCCCAGCCCCTGCTCTGGGTTACTCCAAGACGAAGCAAGTCTCCTTTCAGTACAGCAAGGAGGATGTTTTTCACCAAAGGACGTGTCATCCCCTGCCCTACACCAGCCCCTTGTAAAATTACAATCTCCAAAACTACATGTGTATTCACAGAAAAAAAGGATTCTTGCCAGCTTCACGTTGCAGTAGTATCTGTCGTGCTGTTGGACAGCAATGAATATCTTAGACCTGATCCAAGGCTGCTTCTCGGCAGTTTCCTTTTAATGAAGCACCTATGTTTTTACAAGAGCTTCCCAAAGTCTCTTGATAGATAACCCGGGGCTGTAACATTTGTCTTTGTTCCTATTCTGGCAGCCAAATTTCAAAAAGATGACAAGGGTCTTCCCAGACGTTTCAGCCAGCCCCCCCCCCCATGCCATGCAGGAGCAGGGCTGGCTCCCCACACCCGCTGGGGCACCACGTGCCAGCACCAAAGCCGAGGTGCCGAGCTGTGGCCGACATCCCGGTCCGTCACTGCGTGCAAGCACTGGGGTGGCCCTGCCTGCTGTTACCCTGCGGTGCCTACTTCCACCCCCGCTCGACAGCCCTAAACGGGGTCCCTGCAGCAGGGACCTCACGGTGAGCCCTCCCGGCACTGCCGGCCTTCAGAGGAGTGGCGACGGGGCACAGGCGGCCTCGGAGCAGCGAACCAGCCTCGGCACGGGAAGGCGGCAAGTGGAGCTGAGTTACAGAGCGAGGGAGAAGAGGCAGAGGAGAGGACTGAGCCTCCTGTGCAGGTGGGAACAGGCATCTGCCCCCTCGCTCCTCCCGTGCCCTCACTGCCCTGGTGGGACCTGCTGCCAGTGGAAGCATCACCTTCTAGAAGGCAGAGTGTACCCCAGCCAGACATGGACCCACCGCTAGTGACACACAGGAGTGCGACCTGGCCCCGCGGGACTGCTGCCGCATGGGTCCAGCAGAGCCAGGCAGCAGATGACAAAAAGAGGGACTGAAAAAAGAACGGGACGAGGAGGAGACTCCAACCCAGTCCTGAGGACTTGCTGAAACACCCTGCAGTAATGCACGAGACAAGTTAAACCTCCCCTGACAGATGTGGGCCCAACAGCTGTAGCTGCTGCTGGGTGAGCTGGCCTCAGGTGTTTTGAAGATGCTCTCCCAGACAGCACCCGGGCTGCACCCGGCTGCTGGGGTGATGGGCACCCCACACGCAGTGCGGAACAGCAGCAGCTCAGCAGAGCTCCCCTGAGCCTCTTTCTTCTCACCAAGACATATGGGCTAAGGAAGGGAAGCGTAGGGGAAGGCGTACTGCATCAACACCTCCCCCAGCCTATTTTTACTCAGAGCTGCTGCAAACACCTACCAGTCAGGGATGGCCCCTAAGAAAGGCTGCTGACTTCAGCCCTCAGCCTCTACAGATTGAGGGCAAAAAAGACATCAGTGTTTGCAACCCAGCTCTGGGCTTGATTTCTTGGCAGCTCTCTGCAGGGAAGGAGACAAAGACAGACCTCTGGCCATTGCAGAAGTGTTGTAACATGATGAGAGCTGGTAACTGTTGGCAGACCATTGCCCGTAGGTTTTATTCTCTTTGATCTCCAGAAGATACAAATCTCCCGTGTCCTTGGTGGTCACACTCCTTCCCTTCTGTTTGCCTTTCCACACTGCTTTAGTTCCTTTATTGCCCTGCAGCAGTTGGTAGATCCCCAGAAAGAATTAACTTGTGGGCAGGCCCAGTATGTTGCAGTTGATAAAGACCTCACAGCTGGGAGGTTTGGAGTAGCTTACTTTCTCCCAGGAAAAAAAAACAACCCACACCTTAGGGCTTCTATGTGTAATCTTGAGCAAAGAGAAGCCACCAGATGGGCACACAATGATTAACTTTGTCCATGCAAACAGGGGAGCTAAGATCCTTCCTGTCACAGAGGAGGTGTATGTAGAGAAACACCCAGGTATAAAGGGACAGAGGCCAGCATGGAGTTGAGAGCAGCAGGACTGACTGCTCAGGCTCCCAGCGTCTGCTCAGCAGCACCGCGGTGATGGGTGAGTTCTCCTCTTCCTCATGGCTCCTTTTCTGCAGCACTCGCAGCTCCAGAGGATGCATGTAGAAAACCAAGCTAAGTGACAGGAGTGGGGGGACCACGGGAGTGGGAGCTGATGAGAGTGTCCAGTGTCCATCTCACTCCTCCCCTTTCCACCCAGCCGTTTCTTTCTAGTTCTCTGCTGCTGCTGCCACTAGGTTGCTTCCTGCATCCCTGTGAAATGCATGCTCTGCACCTGGAGCACAAACTCAGCTGCAGTGCTTTGAACTATTTGCTCTGAATGCCCTTAACACAAATTTACTTCTTTCACATAAAAATATCCTTTTGCCTCTAGATCTGTAGGAAAAACAAACAAACAAACAAACAAAAAACACATTTAAGAGAAATATGAGAAAGTGCAACTACAAGTTTCTGTGTGGTGCAGGCAAGGGGTGGATCAGGAGGGTGACAAAGTCATTTCTCACCTTACTTCAGCCCTGCCGAGGCAGACCCTGCCCAAAGCTGCAGCTCTCACCACCCCGGGAGCCCCCCGCTCCTGCCTGCACCCTGCGGCTCTGCCTGCCCTGGTCCGAGCTCCCCAGGGGCCAAGGGGCTGCCCAGGGATCCTAATGGGCACTTTCATCCCCAGGGCTCCAGGCTGGGTCACATCTGCTCCATAGGGACCTCGTCCTCCTGTCCGCTGTAGTGGTGATGCTTCTCTTCTGTGCGAGCCCAGTGTGCGCAGCCAGCTCCCAGGGCGGTGAGTACAGGAGGTGGGGGGACAGCTGACAAGCTGCCAGGTCCGAGTGCAGCCACTGCTGAGCGTGGCCAGGCTCCGAGGTGCTGGGTGCAAGCGTCCCCATGCCACAGAGAGACTGCAGGTCTCTGCATTCAAACCCAAGCTGCAGAACAGGGCTTCTCATCACCAGCAGATAAGACAAGTTCCACTGGTTGTGAAGCGCCCAGTGAGATCCAGCATTAGCATCATCAATGCAGCTGCCCCATAATAACCTGCCAGGACATTCTCCAGTACAAGTCCCTCACGTCTTGCTTGATCTGCTTCTGCAGGGTTCCCCGCAGACTGCAGCCACCTCACCAGCAGCAGCCCCAGCGGGGTGTACGTCATCCAGCCGGCACGGTCACCCCCACGCGTGGTGTGGTGCGACATGGACACCGAAGGCAAGGGCTGGACTGTTGTCCAGAGAAACACTTACACCACCGAAATCACGTGGAAGGAGTCCTGGACCACCTACAAGTACGGCTTTGGGAACGTGCAGGGCGATCACTGGCTGGGCACCGAGTACCTGCACCTGCTGACACAGCAGGGCACCTACAAGGTCCGCTTCATCGTGCGGAATAAAGCCAATGTCACCCACTATGCCGAGTACGACATCTTCAGGGTGGAGAGCGAGGCTAGAGGGTACCCGCTGAGGCTGGGCCGGTTTTCTGGTGATGGGGATGACTATCTGACCAGCTACCACTCCAGGTATGGGGGCATACATGACAACATGAAGTTCAGCACGACTGACAGGGACCAGGACCAGCACAGTGGGAACTGTGCCAACAGCTACGGGGGCTGGTGGTACGACAAGTGCCAGAACGTCCTGCTCAATGGCAAGAGGTACATCTTCTGGCCAGGAACCTGCTCAAGTGGCGACTGCACATCCTCCCTCATCCTGGTCAAACCCACAGATGTGTGTTGACCATGCCACAGCGCCCAGCCTCCTGGGAGTTTGGGGAAATGCCACCGTCCCCAGCTCAGTGCCCCGTTCCCGTGCCTGCCAACAGCCCTGTGCCAGTCCCAGTGCACATCCTGCGCTGCCTGCAGGTCCTGCACCATCACCAGCAGAAACACCGCAGCTCTGGGGCTCAGGAGCAATTGCCTGGAGTCCCAGGCGTCTGGGCAGCTTCGCCCAGTGCCACGGTACTGGCCGGCACTGGAACACGGGCACTGGTATGGGGTGGGTGCACCCACTCCTGTCCTGGGGAAGGGGGGAGACAGTGCAGTTTCCCTTCCCTGTGCAATCGGTGTATCCCTGCTTTGCTCAGACCCCATACGCCCCACAGCTCTGCTACCCACGGTGGGAGAAATCAGCTGCAATAAACCCTGGAGCCAGACTTTGCTGCCTTGTGTCTATCTGTTGCCGTGACACTGCACACACACAAATGGGAGCAGCTGAGGTCCCGAGGCAGTGGAGGATGCTGGGGGACACCATGTTCATGGTGGGGGATCTCATTTGCTGCATTCCCTGTCTAAGGATCACCCTCCTTGCTCCACTCCATGCCATGTCTGGGGGAGCTGGAGTCCCAGCCCCATCCTGCAGCAAGGGCTGGGGTGGGTTAGTGTGCCCCTGAGGGCCATCAGGTTGCCAGGAGTGGGGTTCATGCCATTGGGGATCCATCCCCGCTGTGGTCCCCGGGGTCCCTCAGCAGCCCAGGGATGGGTGATGGGGGGTGATGCTTTGAGGCCCTGGGGGGTGGGGAGCCCTGAGGTGAGCGGGAGCCTTGGGGCAGCCCCACACTACTCATCCTGGGCTCCCTGCAGAAGGGGGCCAGGGGCCGCAGGGCATTTGCATCATGGCCAGTGCTTTCCCACCCTGAAGTGGGTGACATTAGGTGGCCAGGACCTGCTGGGATGCAGCTAGCTGTGGGCAACCCATGTCTGCGTTTTCACCAGAGGCCAGGAAGCACCCGGGGCTCGGGGACAGCAGCTCCTCCCCAGTGAGCCGGACCCGTGTTCGCACAACCCGCCCTGTGGCGATGGTACAACTGTGCTGCCATGGGACTGGGATAGGATGGGCACATGGGAGGGATGGGCACTGGTGGGAGCACTGGGTGATGCCCCACGCAGGTGCCCAGTCTGCCCAGCCTGTGGCCTGGCTGGTGCCCAGCAGGCACCAAACAGCTCCTCTCCCCCTGGGGCTGGCAGTGCCATGCAAAGCGCCCAGAACTACCTGTCCTTCCCCAAAGCTTCTCCAGCACCAAAAACTTGCAGTTTCTTTATTTAATGTAGCTGTGGTTTATTAAAATTAGTTCAGTATTTGATATTTTCCCTGCAATCCCACAGATTTTTTTTCATTAGAAACCTGGCACTGCCTTAGCACAACTGCTCACTCTGTGTCAGTCTGTACAAACCTGTTGGAGATACAGAGTAGGTATTTGCAGGTTGTAGGTGTTGCTTTAGACACAGGATTTAACCAGAGGTTTATTACAACTGCTAAACTGAGAGCCAGTGTGGGTGAAAACATCTCTCCAGGTATAGGCATCAAGGCCACATATTCAACAAGTGGGGTTAATTCAAATTTACTAGAAAATAAGGAATATTTACCCTTCTCCTACCCCAGCTAATGAGGGGGTAACAGAAACCCTGAAGAGAAAGGGACTGGTTATTTATACAGCTAAGAATAAGGATGTTTTCCTGTGATGCTGTTGTAGTTTGAGCCCAGAGGGCAACTGAGCACCACACAGCCACTTTCTCACCTCTTCTCCCTCAGGAATGGAAAGGAGAAAATAAAGCAAAAGCCTCAGGAATCGAGATAAGGACAAGGAGGGATGGCCCACCCATTACAGTCACTGGCAAAAGACAGACTTGTTAGGGGAAGAAAAAGAATATCAATTTAATTCAAACACTAACAACAACACTTAACAGAGTAGGACAGTGAGGAGTATAACCACATCTTAAAAACACCCTCCCCCCACCCCTCCCTTCTTCCCAGGCTCAGTTTTATTCTCAATCTCTCTACCTCTGCTCCCCAGTGGCACAGGGGGCAGGGGATGGGGGGTCAGTCCTGCCGCTCCTTCCTCCTCAGGGGGGAACTCCTCGCATTCTTCCCCTGCTCCACGAGGCTCCCCTCTCACTGGCCACAGTCCTCCATGGACTTTCTCCGACGTGAGTCCTTCCCACGGGCCGCAGCTGTTCCTATGCTGCCCTGGCGTGGGTCCCCCCCTGCGTGTCGCAGTCCTCCCAGTGCTGAACCACAGCAGCGGGGGCCGCTTCTCCCCTCAGAGTCCCGGCCTCTCCGGGTGCCGCTGCCTGCTCCGGTGTGGGCTCCTCCACAGGCTGCAGGTTGGCATCTGCTCCACCCGTGACCCCCATGGGTGCAGGGGTGGCCCTGCCCTCTCACCACGGGCTGCAGCGGGGTCTCTGCTCTGGTGCATCTCCCCTCCTTCCTCCTCCTTGCTTCCACTGATCTCAGTGTTTGCAGAGGCGTCTCCCTCACATCTCCTCCTCACAACTCCAACTTCTCCTTCTAGGTTCCCCTTCTGAAATACGTTATCACAGAGGTGTACCCACCATCACTAATTGGCTCGGCCCTGGCCAGTGGCAGGACCAACTTGGAGCTGGGGAAACTTCGAGAAGCTTCTTACAGGGGCCACCGCTGTAGCCCCTCCCCTGCTACCAAAAACCCCACCACACAAACCCAGCACAGATGCTCATCCAGGCATTATGTTTCTAAAGCACATTTTATTCTCCAGCAGATATGTTTCAGAAGTACAGGGTTGCAGTGTGTTAATCTGATTATAATGCGATTAAAATAAAACCAGCTCAAAGGAGAAGAACACAGCAAGGGAAGCAGAGGAGCTCTGCGAAAGACGTGAAAGAAAAATCTCTTGGCAGCCCAGGGTGTGCCCTGCTGCTGCCCACTCTGCTCCCCCCAGCAAAGAAGGGCCCAGCAGGGCACTGGTCTGACCACATGCCCCGTGCAGACAGGCAGGGATGAAGCCCTAGCAGTAGGTAATGGGTTTGATGAGGATGGCAGAAGCTTTGCAGTTCCCATTGCACAGGCTGCCCCACGTTATGCTCCCCTTGATGTTCAGCCGTACAGAATAACACGCCGAGTACCACCACCCGCCCCCGTAGCTGGAGGCACAGTTCCCGCCGTGAGTGTCCTGATCCAGATCTTTTGCAGAGAACTTCATGTTGTCATGCACGGTGGCAGCACTGTTTGAGGCCATGGCATCCCCTGCTGTCCCTGAGTACGCTCCCAGCCTCAGCCGGTAGCCCTGGGACTCATCTTCCACACTGAAGAGGTTGTAGTCGGCGAACTTGGTGGCGTTTGTGGCATCCCAGATGACAAACCTGACCTGGTAGACCTTCTGCTTGGAGATGTGATGGATGTACTCGGTGCCCAGCCAGTACTCGGTGTGCACGTTCCCAAAGCCGTACTTGTAGGTGCTCCAGGACTCGGCCCAGGTGATCTCTGTGCTCTGCCGGTTCCTCTGGATGACCGTCCAGCCCCCGTCTGTCACATTCATCTCGCAGGACACCACGATGGGGTGCAGGCCTGCGGGCTGGATGACGTAGATGCCGCTGGGGCTGCCAGCAGGGATCTCGCTGCAGTCCTTGGGCCAACCTGGGCCAGGAGAGAGGGCGATTTAACAAAAGCCTCTGCAGCAAGACTGAGGTGCAGCCCATAGTCCTCCTGTGGTTGGTTCTGCAAGACCAAGAAGTTAGAGACCTGGGTTGCCTGAGGACCACAGATCATACAAATGCCATCCTCACCTGAGCACACAACGCCGGCATCCTCGCTGTGCCTGCAGTCGTGCTCTCCCCAAGCTCGCAATGAGCACTCAGTGAGGAGCTCCTCCTCCCCGTTGCAGTTAACTTCATCCAGCCAGATAGTCCCAGTTCCACTCCCAAAATAAGCATTTCTTGGGGCTGATACTGCCTCTCCACAGCCGAGCTGCCTACATACCACAGAGGCATCCCTCATGTCCCAGTTGTCATCACACACTGTTCCCCACTCATTGCGGTACCAAACTTCCACCCGGCCGGAGCACTTGTTGGAGCCATTCACCAGCCGGAGCTGACCTGAAACATGGAAAACAACAGCAGAGAGGAGTTTTAGAAATGGGGGGGGAAAGACACCAAAGAAAACTGGAGCCCAGGTCAGGGTGTACTTTCTGGCTCAAAAGTGGGGACCACGCAGGAAGATGCAGGGCCTTTACATCTCTGATGATACTACTCCTGGCTGGGGAAGGAGCCTTTGTCTTCTGAAGTCTATATTTCCAACTACTTTTGGTGTGTTGTGGCCCCAGAGACTGGGCACAGGTTTGCCATGTGTTCCCTCAGACAAGTGGACATCAGCCATCCTTTCCCACCACTGCAGGAGCTGTGTTTCACCCTCCTGGGACTGTGAGTACCCCAGGAGCAAGGCTGAGGGTGATGCAGGGGATGGTGCAGTCTGAAGTACCCTCAGAGAAGGGTATTTCACAGGAGAAGACCACTTTTCTAGTTCTTAGCCACAGGACAAGCGAAACAGCTGGGGATGTTGGTGACAGGAGAACCCTTGCTTTTTCCTGCATCCTTCCCACTGACTGTCCCTACCATCCCTGCTGCAAGGCAGGAGATGTATGGGGAGGGACAGCCTTGGCTTCAGGAGGGGGTCAGAGCAAACTACCTGGGCTTCTCCACACCTACACATGAGCAGAAAGGCCTGTGACTGCAAGGTCCCATGTCTGCACCCACCAGACATCTAAGGACAGGCAGGTGACTCATGCTGTGGCATGTGTCTCTCTTGAGGGATGCTGATGGCTTGGGAGGAGCACTGGGTTGGAAGATGCCCTCCCTGCCAGCCTCCTCTGGGGTGTCCCTAGCTGTGTCCTATCAGCACAGGTGGAGACCTTCCATGTACCTACCGTTCACTAACATGTTCAGAGCAGACACAGTGTTATTCAAGACAGATTGACTGAAGAGGGACAGGCTTTGGAGGTTTCTGGTGAGAAGTGGGGCAGGCAGGGCCAATACACAGGCAAGGAGCAGGAGGGGAACACGCTGGACAGCTGGAGGAGGAAGGAACAAGGTGAGAGTCAAACAGAGCATCCCACTGTCAGGGTAAAACGTGCAATCTAGATGCAGTGAGGGTGAAACAGCTTCAAGTCATCTCAAACCTGTGAGGATGGCACAGGGTTGCCTTCCTGACACGTACCTTGCAGCCAGTCTTCTTATCCCCAAGCTTCATGCTTGAGCTCAAGGTGCCCAGGAAATTTGGGGAGTAAAATCAAGCAATCACAAGAGAGTCCTCTGCATATCAGAAGAAACTTGACCAAAGCGTTTATCTCTAAACACAATCTTTAACAGAAACCTTGCGGAATATTTTCTGCCCCTCCAGCTCACTAAACAACTAGATGGTATTTCTTCAGTCTTTCCACTACACTCTGGAAAATCCAAATAAATACTCCAAGTTGTACTCAAAAATAATAAAGTTATTCAACTTAATTTTAATAATAGTTATCTCCAGATTAAAGTCTGAACATTCATTTAAAGATGGCATCACAGCTGCACCTTTGGGGGTTACAGCAGCATTAGATTGCAAAACATCTGGAAAGGGACGACTTTTCCAATGGTCCCTCTCTTTTGGACACCTCATAATGATGGACCCTTGATAGCAATTGGAAACCTACACTTTTTGTGCAGAATTAAATTCAATCTTACGTTTTTAACACATTTACACTTAGATTTGTGACTCTGCTGGGCTAGAACTAAAGTGCAGTGACTGCTAGATATGAACATGTCCTTTCCTCTGAACCTGTCCCTGCTCTGCTGTGACAGAGGGGTACTCTGAGGAGATGAGTTGCTGCAATGTTTTTCTTTGTTCAACATCTTCTCTGGCCCCACTGTCCCATTTGCACAGGGAAAGGTCACTCTTACCCTCCCTCTCCAAGGTTTTGCCCTCCTGCTCTTTGCGCATAGCCTATATTTCAGCAGCCTGGGTAGACCCCGTTTGCGGAGACCTGCCCTCGCTTTGCCTGGACCCTGAGCCTCGCTGAAGCTCTCCCTGACGCACTCACAGCCATGTGCAGTGTGCCGAGCAGCTGCTCCTCCAGCCAGAGCAGCGTGGCGACCCCGTCTGCAGGGTCACCCGGTCTGCACCCCTCGAGTACGACTCAGAGCTGGTCTGACCCTCCTCTGCTCCCCACTCTCTGGGGCAGGGCAGTATGCAGATTCCCTCTTCCCCCATCTGACCTGTCCTGAGCTCTCCTCTGCCCTGACACTGCCTGGGGAGCTGCTGGGCAGGGCAGAGGGCAGACCCAGGGACTTGCTCATCCCTCTCGACCCTTCTCCCTTGCCCTGGGAGAAGCAGCAGGGACCTTGAGTCTGCCCTGTTCTGTGCCCTGTGTCATCTCCTGCCTCTGGGGTAAGTCCTCCATCCGTGGGAGGAAATGGATGGCTCTGCCAGAGGGGAGGCTCTCAACACCCCCTCTTCTTGCCAGCGCTGCTTCTGGGAGTCCACAGGCTGGGGAACCCACCCTGCCCTGCTCCCCCACGCACACACTCACCCATGCTGACTCCACGGGGACACCTGCAAGTACAGAAAGTTACAGTAGATATTCTTTGAATCACAAGATTTATAGCTGTGTGGTGCCAGGGGAGGAGTGGGGCTGACACAGCTGGTGCTAGTCCCATCCCATTCTTGCCCTGGGGTGTGTTAATGTGCTGTGGCATCAGGGCTGTAACCATAACCCCTAACCAGGGATGTTCATCTGCTCTGATAAGAGCCCTTATCAGAACATGAGCAAATACAGCCCAGAAGCGCCAAAGGTTTCCATGCACTTCCATGTGTCAAGCAGGTTTTTTCCTGTATATGCCACCAACTGGTGCCTGGAGATGTTTGCTGAGCTCCCTCCTGCCACCTTTGCAGGGCACAACCCTGGAGATGCAGTCCCGCTTATCACACAGCTGAGCAGGGTCTGGGGTCCCGCCTGCCAGATCCAAGGTGGCCAGGAGCTGGATGCAGCAAACCAGCACCATGGAAGACCCCAGGGATGTCCCTGCTTTCTTCTGGAGGAAATACACTGCATGGATCAATAGCAGTCATAGGCTTGAAGCAGAATGGTGGCAACGTCCAGCTTGTCATGCCTGGGGCTCATGTCAGGAACAGAGCTAAAGGAACTGGACCAGTTGAAATGTGAGACTATTTCTGTCTGAGTCTCAGATGGTAGCAGTCCAGGGAGCACCTGGTGCTGGGAAAATCTCCTGTCTCTTGCAACTTAGAATGCAGAAATTGCGTGGTTCACAGCATGTCCTCCACACGGAGCAGACGTGTGTCACTAGCCATCACCGTGTGAGGCCCCTGCTATCTACAGTAGAAGCTATGGTAACAAATGACACCTTTTGCCCAAGTGAGGTTTGAGCTATGGTTGCAAAAAAAAAAATATTGAAAAAAGCATTTTCCAAAGTCTCACGTTTGAAAAATGACTGAAGCTGCAAAAATCTCATCCACTGAGAGAACAAAAGTTTCAGGACAGAAAGGGCTTTCCCTAGAAAGGCTGAGATGACTGTGAAGGTGAAACACAAATTGTTTTGCTTACACAGAGAAGTCTGGGTTACCCCTAGATACTTCCAGAGTTAGTCTTGGGCATTAACTTGCAGCTCAGCCATTGGAATAGAGCAAACAAGGAAGTAAACATCTCCAAAATAGTTAATAAGTGAATTGAGAAAGTAGGAGATTCTTTTCCCCATGTAGTTTGCCTGTTACATAATGTTTGAAAAACATTTTCTCTCATAACTCATCAATGCAGAGATGTGACATTTGGAACTTTACCTTGGGAGGGATGGGATGTTATTCCATTCCCAGTGTTTCTGTTTCATGACAGGTCCACGTAAATGCCCCGAGTCAGCCAGAACTGTGGCCACTGGGATGGCCGCGAAGCCACACTTTGCTCAGAGGGGTCCTCTCTGAGAAGTCAGGAGCTTCCACCTGTGAAGAGAGGAAGCACCAAGCAGCTGAAGGTCTTTCCGAGCTCTGAACAGGCACCATGGACCCAGCACTGTCGATCACTGCCGGGATGGACCCGCACTTGCAGACCCCCCCCTGCACCTCCTCACTGCAGAGCCCACCCAGATGAGGCTGAAGCGGTGTCACGGGAGCGTGGAGCTGCCCTAATGCTGGAAGAAATCCCCCCCAGCAGCCACAGCCTCCCCAGCCCTCCCGGGGCACAGGCCTGGAGCAGGGGCAGCCTCAGGCTGCGAGCAGGCAAGAGGCAGCTCCCACCGCTGCAGGGACACCCTCATGGCCACCACATGCTACTAGCAAGCTGTTCTCCACTGGTTTTATGGACTTATGTTCCTAAGCAGGTATTTCTACCTCTCTCTCCTTGACTTGTTCCTTATAGGCCTCTGGAGCATCTGCAAGATGGGAAGCTTTTGTCTCCCAGCTGTGAGGTGAGAGTGGTGTTTTCTTTTCCCAAAAGAAATCTCAAAGCACATCCTGAGTAAAGAAAACACTAATATCCATGCTGTCGTGTACCTGAGCACACACATAAAATTTTACTGCAATGAACTTTCAGTTCCTATTCCAGCATTATAAACTAGGATTAAGTTTGTGTAAAGAAAATACTAATGTGTCGGGAAGGCTGAACTCAAAGATCTAATATGTGGATGAGGAAAAGGTTGTGCATATTGTTTACCTGGACCCTAGTAAAGCCTTTGACATAATTTCCTACAGCATTCTCCTAGAGAAACTAGCTGCTCATGGCTTCGATGAGCCTACTCTTCATGGGTTAAAAAACGGCTGAATGACAAGGCCCAAAGAGTTCTGGTGAATGGAGTTAAATCCAGTTGCAACTGGTCACAAGTGCTGTTCCCCAGTGCTCAGTATTGGGGCCAGTTCTGATATCTTTATCAATGATCTGTATTAGGGAATCGAGTGCACCCTCAGTAAGTTTGCAGATGATACCAAGCTGGGCAGGTCTGTTGAGCTGCTAGAGGGCAGGAAGGTTCTACAGAGGGACCTGGATGGGCTGGAGCGATGGGCCAAGGCCAAATGTATGAGGTTCAAGAAGGCTCAGTGCCAGGTCATGCACCTGGGTCACAACAACCCCACACAATGCTGCAGGCTTGGGGAAGAGTGGCTGGAACGCCACCTGGTGTAAAAGGACCAGGGAGTGTTGGTCAACAGCCGGCTGAATGTGAGCCAGCAGTGTGCCCAGGTAGCCAAGAAGGCCAACTGCATCCTGGCTTGTGTCAGCAATAGTGTGGCCAGCAGGACTGGGGGAGTGATCGTCCCCCTGTACTCGGCACTGGTGAGGCCACACCTCAAATACTGTGTTCAGTTTTGGGTCCCTCACTACAAGAAAGACACTGGGGTGCTGGAGTGTGTCCAGAGAAGAGCAACGAAGCTGGTGAAGGGTCTGGAGCACAAGCCTTATGAGGAGTGGCTGAGGGAACTGGGGTTGTCTTGTCTGGAGAAAAGGAGGGTTTGGGTGAGACCTTATCACTCTGTACAACTACCTGAAAGGAGGCTGTAGCAAGGTGGGGGTTGGTCTCTTCTCCCAAGTAAGAAGTGATGGGACAAGAGGAAATGGCCTGAAGTTGCTCCAGGGGAGGTTTAGATTGGTAATTAGGAAAAAATTCTTCACCAAAAGGGTTGTCAAGCACTGGAACAGGCTGCCCAGGGAAGTGGTTGAGTCACCACCCCTGGAGGTATTTAAAAGACCTGCAGATGTGGTGCTCAGGGACATGGTTTAGTGGTGGACTTGGCAGTGTTAGGTTAATGGTTGGACTCAGTGATCTTAAAGGTCCTTCCCAACCTAAACGATTCTATAATTCTATGATTTTATGTTTCTATAGCATCTGAGTATGGGCAAGAAAGAAATTCTTGTAATAGCTGAGAAGCTCTATCTCCATGTTTGCCAATAGAAAGGGGCCTTGGGTTCCCATCTCATTGGTGGAGGAACTTCCTACTCCTCTTTGGATTCAATGGCTTCAAAGCCTGCAAATGAAGATAACAAAAAGCACCATTTATGAACACTGTTTCTTGCTGAATCCTGGTTCAGAAGCCAGTGCCTTCCTGGTGTATTTGCCTTTGTCTTTGCACAAGTGTTGATGAACTTTCCTCTGACCATCGTCCTCTCCTTTTGCCTTTTGGCCGGTTTGCTCTGCCCCTGCTGCTGCCTATGCTCATGTAGGAACTCCAGCTCACTTGTCCTTTCCTCCAACATTGTTGCAGAATTTGAGTTTTTTCCAGGATTTTGAGCCACAAAAAGGCAGCCCCTGCCTCTTGGGCATTACACACCAGCTGATCCACTTTCATTTGCTTTCATCTGGGCCTGTTACAAGGATTTTGCTTTTCCCTTCCTATGCAAGACCAAGCCAGCGGCTGACTGTGTCCCCCTTCCCACCCTGTTGTTGGGACCCACACAGGCATTGCTTAGCCCCAAAGAGTTCACCTGAGCAGGGACCATCCCTGCACCAGCATAATAGTGTCAAGGTGACAGACCACTGGCGTGGGGCAGAGCGAGCAGGACACTGATGCTCTTCTGCATCCCTCCAGCAGCAGCCAATGCCTCAAGTCACATTTGCTGCTGAGTAGAGCAAGCCGTTAACAACCACCTGCCCTGGAAAACTTCCTCCTGAGCCCAAATCTGCACACAGAGAGGATTGAACAAGTGAAAAGGATCTTCCTGACCCCTGCCAGTGACAGTTGGTGATCTGAAATGTGCTATTAATTAAAATGTGCCATATACAAAGCAAAGAAAGATCATCAGAAAAGGCTGGGACACTCCCAGCCTTTTTTTCCCAGCCTGTATGGACTTTCTGCTTCCATGCAGAAATTCCAGAGTTGCATCTGGCCATTAAACCAGGAGGCCACTGGTCTCTTCTCCTACTAAAAATCCAAGGTCACCACTTGCCCCTGCACTGTCCCATGCAGTTGTAGTTTAAGCTTCGACATGTGAACAAGGCTCCTACATCCCATCCCATCCCTCTGGCTGTGACTGTGGTGCTCTGCAAGGAGGTGGTCAGCAGATGCCACGGGGAACAACACTGACACCCACGTTGCAGAAAACCTGACACTGCAGCCCCAGTGGCAGCTGGGGACAGGGATAGGCAGGCACACCCACTTGTGCAAGGTGCTCCTGGTCTGAACTAGGAGACAGAAACATCGCATGGTTGTCAGCAGGCAGATCCCCTTCCCCGTGGCTGCCTGTGGCCAGGGGCCCTCCAGAGCTGGTGTCTCATTCCCCTGGGAACCCAGTGTGGCACCTTCCCGCATCTGGGTAACTCCTTCCCTTCAGAGCATGTCTTCTGCTCCCCTGTGAGCCCAAAGGACAACGCGAGACACGGCAGGTACAATATAAACACATCACCTACCTGCAACGTCCCAGCTTCCTCCTAAATGCTCTCAAGACACTATGTGACCACTGCCTGGCACAGACGTGAAAAGGAAAACAGATATGCACAAGAACTGGACCAGTGTGTAAACTTGTCATTGAGAAGGAAATTGCTTTAAAAGGGATTTAATGCCTAGCAAATGTGGACCAGGAAAGATAATCCTCTGAAGGGCTTCATGGCTGCTGGCGAGCAGCAGATACATTGTGCAGTGATGCCATCTGCTGCCTCCAGCCGCGGGTGAGCTGAAATCTGGGCGCCTGCTCTTGCAATCAGCCACAGCAGGTTCAGGGATGGGGGGCGTGCTGCTTTTACTTTCCA